CCCCCCCCCCCCCCCCCCCCCCCCCCCCGTCCTCCCCCACTGGGTCGCAGCTGCAGGAATTGTGGTTTTCCGTGTCAGACAATACAGGCTAGTATGGAAATAGCGAGGCGTTAGCAGCTGAAGGGAATCGTGAAAATGAGCAAGGTCCCTTTGCCTTGCTAGAAGAAATCAGCGCAAGAGGAGGAGAGAAAGATGTTTCGCACATTCGTAGTCGTCTTCCTTGTGGTTGTCAGAGCAAGCGAAGACCCTTCCCATCTAGACTGGCTGAGTTGGGATTGCAAGTGTGGCATTTTGCAAAGCTGAGTCTGACTTTCACACACTGCTTATCACTCAAGACCAGTCGAGACACGCAACCGGATGAGTGACATGTTGTCTGGCCAATCAAAGGACGCTGTATCCATGGGGAGAAGAACCTTCTGAAGATGTTCATTGGTGGAGGAACAACCAATAACACCTCCATCCTGTCTCTGCCTCTTAACTGCCCGCCTCTTCCATGGGGCTCCGGCAGTGATGGATCGGAGGTGGTTTGGGTGGATGAGCCTGGGAGAAGAGGAAGAAGCAGGTCGATGGCCTTGAGCCCCGGGATGGAGTACGAGGTGTTTTCTGGAAGCTAATGGATGGTCCTAAGGGGGTTTAGAACGTGGGATGACAAGAAGATCTGCCTTGTGGAGAGAAGGGACATCATGGGGCTTGACTGAGCTGCCTGGTGTTGATGTAACCTTCAACGGTGCTCACCTCGTGCGGGTGATTTCTGGATCGTCACAAAAACTGTTTGAAACAGGGGGGTGTCCAACCTTGTGGCCTTTAAGACGTGTGGTCTTCAGCTCCTAGAAATCTCCAGCCAGCATTGGGAATTCTGGGAATTGAAGTCCACAAGTCTTAAAGTGGTTGGAACCTCCTGGTTCAGATGAAGCTTCCAGGCTGCTTCTTAGGATCTCGCTGTGCAGGGACGGGGTGGCTCAGTGGCTAAGGCTCTGAGCTTGTTGATCCGAAAGGTCGGCAGTTTGGCAGTTGGAATCCCTAATGCTGCATAACGGAGGGAGCTCCCGTGACTCGTCCCAGCTTCTGCCAACCTAGCAGGCAAAAAATGCGAGTAGAAAACCAGGGACCACCTTTGGTGGGAAGGGAACAGCGTTGCGTGCGCCTTC